GCAAACTGACTGAAATACACTGCTGAGGTGAGCAGTGGGCAGACAGGAGAGGTCTGCTGCACCATGGGGTTAGCTCCCTGGCCAGTGATCAAACTCCTGCTGCAGTGGCTGCCCATAACTTCACAGTGCTGAGACTTAAACCCTTGAACTACCAGGGGGGCCCCTCCAGCACTTTAGTACGAAACTTTTTCTGTAAATGTGTGCTTTCCCAAGGTAATCAAGTTGAAATGAGGCCATTAGGATGGGCCCCAATCCACTGTGACTGACGTCCTTAGACGGAGGAGAGTGGTGGGCCTCCCAGGTGGTGCAAAAGGTTAAGACCCACACTTCTGAGGCTGGCTGCAGCCACTGCAGCACCAAGTTCCATCCTCGGCTGGCCAAAGAGCTGACGCACATGGTGAGGCAAACCTCTCCCGTCTTGCCGGCTGTTCCCCTCAGCAGTGTAGTTCAGTAGGTCTGCCTAATGTGCTCCCCACTCTGTCTCTGGTAAATCCTCTCACCCCCTGCATGTCTGGCCTGCACCCCAGCTCTTTTATACATAAATAACCTTAAAAAAAAAAAAAAAAAGAGGAGAGAGGTAACACAGACAGATGACCAGAGAGCTAAGCACGAGGCACAGGGAGGACAGGAGCCAGATGCCTACAAACCAAGAGCAAAGCACCGGGGCAAGAAGCTAAGAATTCCCCCACAGGAGTCAGGGGTGGGGTCCTGCTGCTGACATGGGGCCTATAGGCTATCTAGCTTCCAGAACTGGGAAACATTTCTGTTGGGGTGAGCTGCTCCATTTGGTGTGTTCTGTTACAGCAGCCCAAGAAACAGGTGCCCCCCTCCTTTGTGAAATCTCACCACCCAGGCTCTCAGACCACACTGTGCTGCCCTGGTTTTCTGCCTTGACACACTCTTCACCCCGCTGCACAGGTTCATGTCCGCCTGCAGTATTTTTTTTAATGATTTATTTATGTATGCATATAAGAACTGGGATACAGGCCAGAAGTGTGGAGAGGTGGAGGGAGAGGGTGAAAGAATTCACCAGAGGCAGATCGGGGAGCAAAACAGGCAGATCTACTGAATAATACACTGCTGAGGGGCGCAGCGGGCAAGACAGGAGAGGTCTGCTACGCCATGTGGGTCACCTCCCTGGCCAGGGATCGAACTCATGCTGCAGTCTTTAACCCCTGTGCCACCAGGGAGGCCCCACTGCCTGCAGTATTGTCTCCCATGAGTCCTGGACTAAGTCCTCTCCTCACCCCCCTCCCCAACTTGCTCTAGGCAAGCTCATGGATAGACAAGGGCTCCCAAGTCTTTCTCTATCCAGCGCCTCCTTTCCCTCTACCCACAACTCCAAATGCATTCCAAAGTCACTCATCACTTTCTCTCAACCCCCAAATCTGTTTCTCAGTGAAAACCTCTACTAGACATTTACCTGTCAGGCCAGTAACTCCTCCCCTAAGTTATGCAAAATGTCACCTCTTCCAGCCCCTCACAGCCAGTAAGTCATATTTGCAGTCATGCTATCTCGTGAAATCCATCCACTTCTCTTGCGTTTATCACCTCAGGTCACTATCCCTTCCTGCTTGATGACCACCACTTTCTAACAACTCTGGCCTGAAGAGGGAGGCCCCACGACTGAGGTTCAAAATCATCCAGGTGAAGGGCTAGGGGGGAGAGAGCAAAAACAGTGAGTGTATTCACCTGCACAGAGACAGGAAAATATCTGCTGTATTTGAAACAGATTGAACGCGGAGCATCAACTACACCGGTGACAAAAGAGCAGGGCACAGGCAGCACAGAGGTCCCAGCAGGAAGGCAATGGCACACTTGCACTACTAAGACAGAGGGAAGAAGAAGGGCCACCAAATGCGGCAGGCTGCGCCTCCCATGCTGTCTCTTGACATGGTCCAGGCATTGGGGGAGACGCCCGAGAAGCAGGGAGTTTCTGTGCTCCCCCCAAGAGGGAAAGTTGTACTTCCCAGAAGAGGGGAGTTCTTGCACTTCCCAAAGAAGATCTGAACTAGGGAGTCTACATGGCAATGCCTGCTAAAGCTCTCCTCTTTGTTCTTGGTTAATGCAGAAGTAAGTTAGTCATTAATTGGCATATGAAAACCCAATTTGGACCTAGAGTTTATTGATTTGTTATTCTTACACTTGAATTAGCATCAAAGAAAGTAAGTAATGCAAAAGGTATAGCTAGGGGAAAGAAATGTTCCAGCCCTGAGAACTATAGAGAACAAGCTGCCCTGAACCAACTGTGCTTGGAAGCCATAGCCTGACACGGGGGTGCATGTTTGCACCAGCAGTACATTTCTTGGTGTTTGCAAGAGGTCAGTAGTTCGCAGGCCGTGTGGCGGTTAGGAATTTTTAGTTAAGAGTTAGACTTCAGTAGAACTTACGTAGATTTGATGAACTGTTTTAGACCACCTTGAAGTAATTAATATATTAACCGAGTTAATTGAGTGCTAGAAGATAAGTTGATTTTAGTAATTGAATATAGAATAGGAATTTTACACCCACTTTGTAACTGGGAAAGTTTAATTGTTGCCAAATGTTGTGCTGTCATATATGATTGATCATGTTAGTAAATGAGCTGTACCTAGGAAACTAATTGTTCTGGAGGTTACCAGAGAATTGCCCTTTAGGTGTGAGACCTAGGGAGTCTTTGCATGTTCATGAGAAAATATGTATTGATTGTTTCTGTTCTGCCTCAATGCTTACACTGATGTAATCCCACCGCTCGCCTTAAGGTATAAATAAAGACCCGCTGAGACCCTCAGCAGGGAGATACTGGCACGAACTAAGGTGTCTGTGTCTTCCTCACTCCTACCTCGCTCCACTTCCCCTCAGCCCTCCGAGAGAAAGATAAGAAAGAGAAAAAGACTTCACCCACTCCGTCCTCTCCTTTCTGAGATCCCTGACACGACTCCTAGGTGGGGCGGGTCTCCAGCAACCAAAGACCACGGGTCAAAGACGCCTGGCAGAAGTAAGGCCCTCAGGAGTTGCAGACAAAGGCAGGACAGCACTAAACCAGAGAGCGAAAACTGACCCATTCCCCTCGCTTTCACTCTTTGCCGGTGTCTGCAAACAGCCAGAGGTCAGCTGACGGACACCAAGACGGCGACACCTGCCAAGGCCACCTTCCCAGCAAACAAAGCAGAGGCCAGGAGAGAACTGAACGTGAGAGCAAACAGGCCCAGCAATAACACAACATGGGACTTTTTTTAAGTTTGAAGATTAAAAGAAACAATTTTTGATCCAAACAGCAAACAGGAGTTTCAAGCAGGGACACCTAACAGCAGAGGTTTAAAAGAGAAAAGGGGTTAGTGGAGATGAAGTGTCTCCTTTGATCAGAGGAGGAAATGGATTACAGCTGGCACCACAACACGTGGTGCCCGTGAAGTCACTGAAGGGTGTTGACCATCTGGGAGCCTGGTGTGTATTTAAAGGCAAAGGGGAAAGGGACAGTGTCACGGTGAGAGGTCAAGTCCTGCCCACAAAATGGCAGGGGATACTGTAAATGCCATCGACCCAAACACTTCCAAGAAACAGTAAGTGACCGATTAGTTCCAGTAACACCCAATCCAGCTGATTCCCAGAGGTCAATGAAATAAGTGAATCCCACAAACCACTGCTTCATAACCTACAGCTTCATTTTTCTCACCAGCAACGTGTGTCTGATCTTAAGCTCTTAATGAAATTACAAATTGGGGTTCTGCACTTTCATTTACACGTGGAGTTCCTAGTCCATCTAACTCAGCTGGTCCACACTGGCTGCCACACACGCAGGTTAACGCACTACACTCCAACGACTTCCCAAGTCAGAGCCAATGAAGGTGCTGAGTAATTAAGAAGTCTCTCTGCTGGGAACCTATGGTGCAGGACTGTTCTGTTACCTCAATCACCCAGAATTAGTTCTAGACTCTTCCTTTTCCCCCACCACCCTGACTCCTGTTCTACATTTGTTTTCACAATCTCTTGCATCATGGTGCTCTCTTCCAGCAACTATTGCCAGACACCAGATCGTTATTTCATGCCCAGACAATCATTTCCTCCCCACTTTGAGCCTACCCGACCTCTGATGATGACAGAAATTGAAATATCCAAGGGTCTCACCGACTTGGGTCAAATCCCAACCCTTACAACATGACTGGCTTTCAAAGTTGATCCTCAACCAAATTGGAAAGCTCACAGTTCCCCAGCCACCACCCCCATCCCCAGGTTCTCCGCCTACTCCAGGGGTTCTGTCACACCCGGAGCCTGCTGTGCGAGCTCCCTTCCTGGGATGTGCTGCAAACGCATTATTCCTCTCCAGGCTGTGGCTCCCGTGTTCCCTAAATCCAACAGCCTAAGGGCAAACACAGCTCTGGAGGCCAGCAGTCGGAGTCGCCATTTGTTTTCGGAGACAAATTTCCCGGGAAGGGGCAGCTTCTTAGGGGTCTCCCTGGTCGAGCAAGTGGTTAAGCACCGCACTGTGAAGCAATCCGCAGCCTCTGCAGCAGGAGTTCGATCCCCGGTCGGCCAGGGAGCTACCCACATGGCGCGGCAGACCTCTCCTGTCTCACCTGCTGTTCCCCTCAGCAGTATATTTCAGTCAGTCTGCCTGTTCTGTTCCCCACTCTGTCTCTGGTGAATCCTCTCACCCGCCCCCCACACCTCTGGCCTGTACCCCAGTTCTTGTGTGCATAAATACGATTTTAAAAAAAAATCTATTTAAAAAAAAAGAAAAAGGGCAGCTTTTTATCACAAGCGCCTCAAGCTTGGTACCCAGTGACGACCTCAGGGCCGGAACCCACAGTCTCCTGACAGTAACGCTCACAAACACGTTCTAGGGGAAACCCCGGGCCCGTCACAGACCCTCCGTCTCCTCGCCCGAAAGAGGCCAGCCCGGGCCGCAGCCGCCAAGCCCCCGCCCGCCGACGCCGCGGGGGAGCCGCCGGCCGAGGCCCGCGTCGCTCCGCCGGGGGCCCACACGCGGGGAGCGGGCGCCGAGTCCCGGCCCCTCTCACCTGCAGCCGCCCTCGGAGGAGCAGCCCGCGCCCGCGGAAGCAGCCGCGCAGGAGGACGGCGAGCACCGCCATGTCGACGGCGCCGAGCAGGGGCTTCAAGGGCGGAGACCGGCCGGCGCGCGCGCCTCCCTGACCTCGCGCCGCCCCTGACCTCGCGCCACCGGTCTCCGGGCCCGCGCCCCGCCTCCTTGCCCTCACCCCACCCCCCCCTGCCCGCGCTTCACCCCTCCTCCCTGCCCTCGCCCGCTTTCTCCCCACGCCCCGCCGCGCCTCCCGGGCTCGCCCCGCCTCCCTGCCCTCGCCCCGCCCCTTCTCCCTGCCCTCGCCCCGCCCCGCCCCTACCCCGGTCTCACCCGCTTCCAGCCCTCGCCCCGCCCCTTCTCCCTGACTTCGCCTCGCCCCTCCCCGCCTCCCTGCCCTCGCCCCGCCCCTCCCCCGGTCTCACCCGCTTCCAGCCCTCGCCCCGCCCCTTCTCCCTGACTTCGCCCCGCCCCTCCCCGCCTCCCTGCCCTCGCCCCGCCCCTCCCCCGGTCTCACCAGCTTCCAGCCCTCGCCCCGCCCCTTCTCCCTGACTTCGCCCCGCCCCTCCCCGCCTCCCTGCCCTCGCCCCGCCCCTCCCCCGGTCTCACCCGCTTCCAGCCCTCGCCCCGCCCCTTCTCCCTGACTTCGCCCCGCCCCTCCCCGCCTCCCTGCCCTCGCCCCGCCCCTCCCCCGGTCTCACCAGCTTCCAGCCCTCGCCCCGCCCCTTCTCCCTGACTTCGCCCCGCCCCCCCGACGTCGCCCCGCCCCGCCTCCCTGCCAACTCCCGCCTCCTTGCCCACGCCCCGCCCCGGCCCCCTGTCTCGCCCCGCCTCCTTCCCCTCGCGCCGCCCCCGCACAGTCTCCGCCAATGGCAGCTCGCCCAGCGGCTATTGGCCCGCAGCCTGAGAGGGGCGCGGCGGGGGCCGGGCCCGGGACCCGGACTCGCAGCGTCCGGGCGAGGCGCCTGGTGACAAATGACGGACGCGGCTTGAGCCGCTGGCACAGAATCCAGCAAGCACCTGACGCGCGGAGTTTTCCAGTTTCCACCACTTCTGACCTCCCAGGTCACAGGTTTATGTGTAACCTGAGCCTTTCATTTCCTTGAGCCGGTTCTCACCCCCGCAGGGCTCATGGACGTGCTTGTAAGTATTCCAGTAAGCTTTTAATTATGGTGAGACAATTTTGCGATATTTTTTCAGCAGGAGGAGGAAGAGGAAGAGAAGACATGTGAATAGCTAACTGTTCTGAACAAGTAACACGGATTATATAAGTCTTCACAAAATTCCATGAGTTAATGCTTTGTCCACCCTTTAACGAATGAGTAACAGAAGTACAAAGTTAAGTTTTTGTCCGTGATGGAACAGAAAGTGCTAGAACCGGGGTCAGAGCTGATGTCGTTATATTACAGTGAAGGCACCTTCCTGCACCTTTTGCAAAAGAGCCATAGAAATGGCAGCTGTGGTTGAGTAGTCACACATTTTGGGGAGCCCATCCCTGAACCTGGGATCTTCATCTGGAGACAGGCGATCTTTATGACTTAGTAACTTAGTCTTCCCTGGTGAGGATTGTCATAGGAGATAACAGCAGTGACAACACACAAACGCTTGAAGACAGCTTACTCCAAACCCATGCCTCTCCTAAAGTAAAAGGCTCAAAACATGTTCTATTTAACCTATTATCAAATACTGTTGGCAGCTCTGAGAAATTGCATTTTTTCCAAGACAGCCACATTCTTTTAATATGACTGACCCTCACTTTTCCCAATGGAAGAGGGGTCTGTGTCTCTCCCCTAAATCTGGAAAAGAATACCAACTGCCTGGCAGGTGGAGGATGGCAGAGGAAATGTGATGTGGCCTCCTGGGCGAGTGCAGAGGATTCCACTCCTGGCTGTGAAGTCTTCCAGCTAAGACTCCAGACACCAGACAGCAGTGACAACTGTCCTGTGCCCTGCCTAAAATCTTTTTTTTTTAAAGATTTATTTATTTATGCATACAAGAACTGGAGTACAGGCCACAGGTTCTTGGGGTGGTGGGAGGAGGGGGGAAATGAGAAGATTTACCAGAGAGAGTTGGGAGCAGAACAAGCAGATCCATTGAAACACACTGCTGAGGGGAGCAGCGGGAGAGACAAGAGAGGTCTGCTGTGCCATGTGGGTCAGCTCCCTAGCCAGGAGTCATACTGGTGCTGCAGTGGCTGGCGATAGCTTGATAGCACTGTCTTTAACCCCTGTGCCACCAGGGAGGCACCCCTGCCTAAAATCTTGCGCCACAGAAACAGCAAGAAAATAAATGGCTATTGTTGTTTTAAGCTACTGCGTTTGGGGTGAGCTTTACATACTAGACAAGTACAGCACCCTTTCCTTTGATTTCCCAGTCACCCCAGATTGGTCCTTTAATGGAAGAGTAATTTTTCAGCCGCCAGATCTTGTTTCCACAGGTTACTGCGTCCTATCTTGCTCCCTTGAAGGTCATGCTCAGGCTCCGGTATGCTGAACCTACTCTAGGCCAAGCACAAGCCTTTTCCTACTTATTGAAAGGAATTCATTATAGCTTAAGCTGTGAGTCTGTGGAATGTACAACACACAGTAACAGAGTATATCTTTAACTAAAAAAGTTGAATCTTTTATAGAAATAAGTCAGGAAATTAAACAGGTGTTCTGGCCTAATACACAGAGATGATCGGTTGTGACAGGCCAAAACCAATGAGTAGTTTTCATGTAATTCTTAGTATGGGGGAGTTTCTCAGTTTGATTTATTTAATCCTCACAAAACCCAATGAATTAGGGAGTGTTACTGTGCATGTTGTGCAGACATAGAACCCAGCTGCGGACACTTGCTTGTCCAAGGTCACAGAGCTACAGGAATAGGTCTGCAGTTGGAAGCCAGCCGTGAAGTGCCAGGGCGGGCACTGACCACCTCACTAGTTTCACCGCCCAGGACATGCCTCCAAAGTACAGGGGTCAGCTTTCAGGGGACATTCCTATCCTCAGAGGCATGCCAGGAAATAGTGCCACTGTGTTGAACAGGACTGCTTTCTGAGGAAGTCTGAAGAGATTTAAAGGCAGTTGGGGGAGGACAGTAAATTTACTCCAGAACTATATAGTACATGGCTGCTCTTCAGAGCTACCTTCAAAAAAGAGGCAGCTTTAGCACTAGTATGAGCAGCTGGCAAGAATATAATTAGTAACTTCCTTTAGGAATTTAGGAATTTGGAGGCCTCCCTGGTGGCACAGGGGTTAAAGTCTCACCACTATGAAGTTATCACCAGCCACTGTGGCATGAGTTTGATCCCCGATCAGGGAGCTAACCCACATGGCGCAGCAGACCAGACCTCTCCTATCTCATCTGCTGCTCCCCTGAGAAGGATCCGCCTGTTCTGCTCACCACTCTGGTGAATTCTCTCACCCCAACCCGGCACCCCTCACCCCCTGCACCTCTGGCCTACACCCCATTTCTTGTATACATAAATAAATAAAAATAAATCTTTAAAAAAAATTTAGGAATTTGAAAATTCAAGATTTTTAAAATAGAAAATAGGGACACCCACTGTGTCCAGAATAACTGGAGAGCCCACGGTCTATACTTGGGGCAGATTAGACTTGTAAATGAATAAAAACTAATTCTGGTCTGTTATTAATAAAACTATTACCTGATCTTTATTAATTCTGGTCTTTGCCCACAGAATTGGAAACCAGCTCAGGATTAAAGCGTGACAACTGGAGCTGGAGCAGAGAAGTAACTACTGAAGGTGTGATGTGAATGAGATGACACCATGAAGAATCTATGTGGAGACAGACCTGAGAGAACCTGCATGGAGAAGGAGGAAGAGGTCACACCACAGCAGATGGAGCACAAAATGCACGCAGAAGGCCAGGAACGCAATTACAACTTTGCTGTGATAATCTGCACCTCCCATCCACTTGTTTGAAATTTGTGAGGACCCCACCTCACACCCAGCATATGAAGCCACAACCAACGCAAAACAAAGGGAAGCAAATCTAAAATATCACTCTAAAGTCCTAAAGTCACACACAGTTCCTATGAAAGATGAGAAAGATTTGAAAACTCGGGCCTCCCCGGTGGCGCAGCGGTTTATCGCTGGGTTGCGAAGCTGCCCTCAGCCTCTGCAGCGCCGGTTCGATCCCCGACTGCTCCCCGGCCACCAGAGGAGGGTCCCACATGGCGCGCAGACCTCTTCCTGCCACCCGCTGCTCCCCTCAGCAGTGTACTTCGGTCCTTCTGCCTGCTCTGCTCCCCGCTCTGGCTCTGGTGAATGCTCTCACCCTCCCACGCTTCTGACTGTACCCAGTGCTTGTATAAATAAATAAATAAATAAATCTTTAAAAAAAAAGATTTGAAAACTCATTTTTCCAATACCCAGCGAAAACAGAGCTTCCTCAATTTACAATAGGATTAATTCCAGTAAACCCACTAAAGTAGACAACAGGAAAATATCCCTAACCTAGCGAACACCATAGCTTGGTCCAGCTACCGAGTTGTGCTCAGAACACTTAGAGGAGCCCACAGTGGGCAGTCACCTAACACACAGCCTATTTACAATAGCAGACTGGCTAGTTCCTGTAATGCACAGCATACTGTACTGACGGTCAACACCTGGCTGTTGAGTGCGCATGTTTTTTTTTTTCTTTCAAAGATTTATTTTTATTTATGTATGCATGCAAGAACTGGGGTGTAGGCCAGAGGTGTGGGGGGGAGGGGAGCAGATTCACTAAAGACAGTGGGGAGCAGAACATGCAGATCCATTGAAATACAGCACTGAGAGAGCAGCAGCACTGAGGAGAGCAGACAGGAGAGGTCTGCCATGCCAGGTGGGTTAGCTCCCTGACCGGGAATTGAACTCATGCAGCAGTGGCTAGCAATAGCTTGAGAGTGCTGAGACTTTAACCTCTGCGCCACCAGGGACACCCTTAAGTGTGCATGTTTACCTCCGTGATATATGGCTGCCTGGAGCTGAGACTCACCACCCAGCATCACAACTGCATTTCATAACCTCTCCAAAATTCCACTTTCCAAATTCAGTTTCCACTGAACATACATTGCTTTCCCACCATTATACAATCAAAAA